ACTTTGTCCCAAGATAGGAGCATTTTTGATCCAGAAAAGGCAATGAAAATGCTGAATACCTCGCCCTTGATATTCACGACGCCAAAAGAAATGTTCTACTTCACCGATGGGATTATCTGACGATAAGATAAATTGAAGCATTGCTTGAAATTTATTCTCAATAAATCTAGAAACAGAAACCGGATCAGACGCAATTACTTCTCTTGCAGATAGCTTATCGAAATGTGGAGTATTAATGTCACGAACGTATTTTAAAAGATCATCCCAATTATATTCAGCAGGAGATAATGTAAGAAACCAAGTTGCTGGGCCATAATAGAATATCAGACACATCAAATTATTTTTTGGTTTTTTCCAAAATTGAGGAGAATTCCGGAGTTTTTCAAAATGGTTTGCAAATCTCTCTCCAAGTTACCGTTTTCTATATGATTAAGATACTCATTTTTAGTGTAACGTTTTTTTGGATCGGTCATATGCAATGTATGATATATACCACTATTTACTTGACGAATATGAGTTTGGCTGATTAAATAAAATATGTATGGGATATTCAGACGATACCGTGCGTCTGCAGACTTTAAACGTAATTTAACATACTCACTGTCATTAAGATTGAACGATCGATTTTCATACTGGCCGTTAACTCGATAAGGATATAAATCAGGAAAACATAGCAAATCTAAATCTTTACAACGATTGTTCAATGGATTTTGTCGAACTTTTTTCATTTGATATAAAGTAGTTGAATCTTTATTGATTCTTTGATCATATAAAGGGTGTATTGTATATTGCTCTTCATACTCTTCACGATCGGGAATAAGTGTTAAAACGGCAGATCCACATAGTTTTTGTTCAGAGTTTTGAGTCCCTCCTTTACTTTTAAATGATAAATTATCATTTAATATTGAAGGTTCGTCATGAAGAACTTTTTCACCATCAACTTGTAATGTGTTATTTGTAGCAATGATCGTAGGACTTTCGTTTAATACAGTTCCGTCGTTGATTACAGTATCTGAATCTACTTGATATTCTATCTCAGAGTCTAAAATATCAAAAAGATTTTCAGCAGATGGAGGCAGAATTATTTGTGAATAGAAGGATTATTATTTTTCAACCATTGTAATGCATTGAAAACCTTATTTATATTGACTTAATTTTGCCATACTGTTTTGCTCTCCTTTGGAATACTATTTACTAAAATATATAGTTCATGGTCTTTATTCAATGGTTCTGTTGTGGAACAAATTTTGTTTAACGTCTCTTCTAACGGTAATGGTAAATAAAATGTAGTTCCTTTTAACATTTGCACCTTCATACAATTTGGTAAATTTTTTTTAGAAACTGTATCCTTTCTCTTAACCACTTGAAATGCTTTAGCTCTTTGTATTAGCAATTTTTCACAATCATTCAAAGAAGAAATTACTTCAGGAACATTGCCAGCCATTAAGTTATTCATAATACAAGTAGAAGGACAAGAATTATTACGAATTTTTGTGAGGCAAAATGTATAAATAAAATTGCTTTCCAACTTCGGATGTATGGCAATGAAATTCATAAGATCTTTAAATAAAACATGTTCAGTAATTGGGTTGATAAGTTTATCAATCATATGACCGTCTCGCTTAGAATAAAGTTTTTGACAAGAAATACAAACATTACGAGGAGTATCTATCGACCGTTTCGTTAGAGCAATAAATGCTTGTTTGTATCTTTCTCGAATTTGTTCTTCGTCTAAACATATTAAATTGTTTTCAGAATTCCAAATTTTACTATGTTTGACCATTTTTTCGTAAATTGTGTAGAGTTCATTATAATGACCTCTTTCTAATCCGAAATCCAATTTACGTATTTTTTCATATAATGATTTTATTTTATAGACTATTCCTTTGACATGCCTAACAGCTGGGAAATGAGGTGATAGTATACCCACGCTGACAAATAAAGAATCGCAAGGTTTTTCTAATAAATAACAACATAACGGATGCCCCATTTTATTACCTTTACGTTTTTTACTTGGAGTATTATGCATGTTAAACTGATTGTCAACAAAATCGGGAAGATTCTTGAAAGTCAATGACTTTAAACATTCAAGAAGTGAATGATATTTTGATATGACTTCATTTAGAAATTTTTTTTGACTATTATCAAAGTTAATGTCATTCGAATAAAAAATTCCGCAGTGTCTATTACATTTCCATCGGATTTTCGATTTACCATTCTCTTGAAGTGGCAAGATATTGACAGCTTGACCTTCAGGATTTATCATTATACACTGATTGTTTGAACTTAATGAATTTTTAGAATCTCCAAACAAATATGACGATTCATAAAAATAAGATTCTGATGATTTTGTGTGCAAGGATCGACCACAAAGGTTATTTAGTTTTTTATCTATATCTTGAGAATGTTTAAATTTTGAGAGGAAATAATCTGCTTTGTCTTTTATTCGTTTCATGGTTAATGAAAGTTTTGAAACATCAATATCTCTTTGAACCATACACCACTTAATTATTTTTTCTGACAATAATCGACTTTGAATGCTGTTTTTGATACCAATTGTAGATTCAATGAAGTTCTGTAATTTTTCTATATAAACTTCATGACATTATTATTCGTCTATTTTTTTCTCCATATTCATATCACCAAAATCAACCATGTTGTCTGGTATATCAGTTTGATCATCAATGGAACATTGAGTAATTTTATTCATACGATTATTCACTTCCTGTTCAGTTATATCCATTTTGTAAGAAGTTTTCTCCTCACAAATGTTGAGCATATTTATATTTTCTGATGAATTAGCTTTATTAACATCTGTAGAATCGATCATGAATACTCTATTCGTATCTGGAGATTCATTTTGGGAATCATACAAGTCGACATTACTGATTAAAGGAATGGACTTATTATCATTTACATAATCGTCATTCGATTCTTTTATATTGCAATTCATCTCTAAATTAGTTGGAATACAGTAATCATGTTCAATACTTATAATATTCATTGATAAATGATTAAGTTTATCGAAACCATTTTTATGTATATTACTAATACTAACATTGGGTTTTTGTACATTACATCTATCTTTTACATTATTTGTAACTGAGTAATTGTGTTCAATATCTACTATATTTCTAGTTAAACTATTTAATTTTCTAGAAATATTTATTTTATTCATTCTACTATAATTGTGTTCGTTGAACATTTCCCGTATTCTAGATGATGCAGTAAGTTTTGAAATGTTCTTACTGATATTTTTAGACTCATTACTTACGTGTTTCAATGAGTAAATTTGCTTTTTTTGACATTTATTTGTAGGGATAGAACAAAGTTTTTCAGATTCAATTGCAGAACTCCTTGGATTGATTAATGAATGTTTTTTCGATTTATCTGTATCATTAAACTTCTCGAAGTTTTTTCATTCGCCGATACCTGGCAAAATATTCTTTTTTCCGAATTTTTTCAAGCGGTAGACTAGAAATTTGCAAGTGACAGACTAAAAAGTCGCAAGTGGCAGACTAGAAAGTCGCAAACGGCAGACTAAAAAGTCGCAAGTGGCAGACTAAAAAGTCGCAAACGGCAGACTAGAAATTTGCAAGTGACAGACTACAAAGTTGCAAGTGGGCAGACTGGAGAATATAAATATAATGATAGAAGTTGCTGTCAAAAATGTGTCACTGTTTATAATCACAACAAAATTTTTAATTTAATATTATTTATAATTCAGTTTTAAAACTCAATTATATATAAATGTTGTGATTTGACTGGTTAACAATAAAATAAATATATAAATCAATCTACTTCCTAAAGTACTAACTAATTAATCTAGCACCTAACCTACAAATTAATCTACTAACTAATTCACTAACTCACTAACTTATTAAAGAATTAATTTACTAATTAACTTATTAATTAATTAATTAATTTACTAACTAACTATTCTACTAACTAATTTACTAATAAACTAAGTATTTAATAATCCTATAAGACTTAAAAGTTATTTTATGAAATACATTAAATACACTACACACGGTTATTTTGCACTGAATAAACAAGAATTGGTCATAGAAATAGAATAATAAATTATCGAACTTAGTAAGGACATCGATCGACGAAAATTGGCATATTCTGCCATCTGTGTAACATAAGGAGTTACTAACATAAACTGAACAAGTAGTTACTGTCCCCACTTTCAAAATATCGTTTGATAATATTATCGATCTTCATCATAAATTATTTTTATATAGTGATCTGATTCTTTTAATAAAATATAAATGTTTAAATAAAATTTTTATTGATTGGAGTATGAACTAAATAAATAAACAAATGATGAAATAAATAGAGTTCTTTTACTTTGTTTTTAAATTTCGTTTATTAAATGTTGTTAATTAGAGTATTTACACAAAAAAATTTACATAGCTGATTCATGGTTGTTTATTTGAATTTTTAAATAAATCATTGGTAATTTAATACATCTTCAATTTTAGTATTATGTTCTTCAAATTAACTTGACAAGTGTTAAAGCAGAGTCGTGAGATACATTAACAAATTAACTTTCGATTCTTCAGTATTTACATGGTTAATCAGTATGGAAAAATTTTTAAATGAGGATAGAATGATCGAAGAGCTTTGGAAGGCATTGGCCTCTGCATCAAATAAAAACCTCATTAATTAATTAATCATCTAGATCAAATATTTTTGTTTAATTTCTATTCACGATAACTCGATAACTGAAGAAAGGTCATTCTTGAGCAAGTATTGATCCAATTTAATATTTCCTTGATGTAAAAAGTTTTTATTGATTAAAATCAAAATGGCTAATAAATTATGAAAAATTATAACAAAATTCATTTTTGTCTTAACGCAAGTATACAAATGATAAATTAATTTTAATGTTTTTGGGTAAATATTACTATATGAAGAAATCGAATTCGATGTTACAATAATGATACAATTAGTAATAAAATTTATTTTGGTACCGTATGAATGTACAGAAGATTAATAGACGTGATTTAAATTATTTTTATGCAAAAAAAAGGAATTATGACATTTAATAAGAAAAAAAATATGCATATTAAAGCATACAACATTATTTTTTGTATGTACAGCATTTGATATACACTTTATTAACCAGGCAGAAGCAAACCACCCTCTGTTCGCATCTTCTCTTCAGTAATTATGTCATCAAAAACTTGAATGTCTCTTGTGTCGACTACTGCTAAAAAATAATTACCATCTCCTGAAAAATAATTAAATCATTTATATAATCTGCTGTAAATTATTCTAGTGTATTCAAAATAGATTAATACAAGTATTCACATACGATCACATTGCGATTCAGCTAAATAACTAATCAGTTGGCCAATTTTTAAATCCAGATGAAACATGTGATTCAAAATATGTACTCGTACTGATGAGTAACGATCATTTACAATACCTGACCAATAACTGTAACGAGGACTGTTCCTTAATGTAAAGTGTTTTTGCAGATAACCCTGGACATCTAAAATAGATTTGAAGCCTAATTATCATCATATTGAAAGATGTTTATGACAACAAATACTCAAATACAAACAACTTACGTTGTATTTGATGTTGCCTGAGAAAAACATCCTTTAAGGTTGCTTGTTGTGAAATCAAATCTGGCTTGAACATCTCGAAAAAAATATTCACCGTTGTGTAGAACTTGACAATCAATTGTAAATGATATAAATTTTCCTGATTTATTCTCCGATTGAGGGGTCTTCTTTGACAGTAAATATCTTTAAATAACATAATCTGCAACAATAAAATAATTTCGTTGTGTTAGTTTATAGTTTAATTTAATCAAATTTTTCAACATGTTAAATGCATTTAATTCCAAAAAATAATTTACCGAATGAAATTTTGTTTTCTGGAAATATTTAACCGCCAGATCTGACCAGAAAACAACCCTAATACGACGTCCTTGATCATTATTAATAATTATGCTCCATTGATTTTTCCCATTAACATACTTGGTTCCCTCGATAGAGTCAATAAAGCCGCTTATTTCACTAGAAAATAATTAACGCTTTTGTTTACTATCTTTCGTTCATTAATTTATAAACATGTTAAGGTTAATGTGTAATGAAATTGAAATAAATTCACTATCAGTTAAAACGGAATCTTAAAAATCAAATTAATAACATTGAAGTAGTAAAAAAATCATTTAAAATTGAAAATATAATACATGAATTATATTGAATGTAAATTCAATTAGAATTCTTACCTTACATTACTGTTATGCTGAAAATTGTTTATCACATTATTACTTGTAAAAGGTTCTGACATATTCCAACTCATTTTAAAAATTATTTAGTTATTTCACTTCAAATACGTACTAAAACAGAACAAATATAAGTTTTTTGATAAGTAACTTCTTTTAATTTATCACACTTTTCAAGTAAATTATGAATGAATTGAAAATTCAACTTAACCTCACATTATTTTTCAAGAAAGAAGTTTAGTTTATACAACATACCCTAGTATATAAGATAAAAATGAAGCAAATAGGAATTGTCAACAATTCATTTTTGTCCATAAAATAATTACAATCACTGACAATTTTATATTTTATTAATAATTGATAAATAAATACTGAATGACGAAAACCCGAGATGTGACAATAACCTCTTACTTGTGTCAAGACCACGGTGTAAGATAATGAGGTGGTTCGACGTCTATCCTTTTACTATTGAGGGACCGAGGACCATTAACGTCTTACTTCGTTGAAAATCCGCTAGGTTCGCTAGCGACAGCCATGAACTAAGACACTAAAGAACCCAAACATTGTCGGCCCGTCGAACTACCTCTTTATCTTACACCGTGGTCAAGACTAAAGTTTGAAACTAAACAAAGGCACGTACAATGTACATATATATATGCTCTGTATGTGGAACATTCATTGCTGATGGTAAATTACAAACATAGTTGATTTACAACCATTTTACCCGCTAATTTACAGACTATTAAATTCAGATATTTGACTGGTTAATAAACAAGATACTATACCATTTTCCGTCATTTACCCTCACTTTCTTATTATCAATAAATTAGTTTATACTCTCGCGCAATGATTAGATGGCGCTAGTATGACACGCGGGTTCCGAAAATTAAAATTAAACGTGTTTTATCAAGAGCGATTTGACAACGAGAAAACCAAGAGACGAAGGGGAGGGGATTAACGTGAAAAAATTAATGAAGAAGTTTCAGAAAGTAATAGTTTTACAGTGCTTACAACAAAGGCAAGTCGCTAAAATGTCCGGACCTAATGGTAAGTTCTTTTTTTTTATTCAAATAAATACATATTTAACAGTTGTGAATCTAATCTAAATTAATTCAACTTTATTGTGTGTTAATTATTGTTCAAAATAAATCTGTAACTTCTAATTAAAATATATCTTTGATTGATTTGAAAACAAATCAGAGATATATTTTCATTGGAGGTTATACATTTATTTTAGGGAATAATTAATATACATAATGAATGTGGAATAATTATGATAAGATTCAAAGTTGTTCAATTGTAAAACTAACATTAATATATAAAATACAACAGAAAGTAATATATACATATACATATGTATATATTGATTACTTTCATCATATCATTTGTTCTCTTCAATTCTGGAAATGATTTTATCAGCTATTAACTAATTTCTAGTGCTAATCGGGTTACTAAAGAAATCAGTAACCTGATTGGCATTGAAAATTAGTTAATAATCACTGAAGTCATTTTTAGAATTTAAGAAAATGTTATAAATTATAAATAAATAAATTTTTATTTTAGAAAATGAAAATGCACGATTGAATCTCGAACTAACTCGTCAAGTAGCCATCAACAATCAACTTCGAGAAACGGTGGCTACTCTGATGAGTTACTTTAGAATGCCTCCACTACCACCACCAAATGACCTGATACCAGCTCAAGCACCAGTACGCAGGCCAGCTCAAGCACCAACATCTGGATCAGGACAAAATGGTAATTTTAATTTTAATTTAAAAACAGAGAGCTATTCAATTAAATGTTTGCGACATTTATAAAAAAAATATAAATTGAATAGTTCTCGATAATGATTCTTCCTTATTTTTTAGGTTTTAGAGGCCGCCGTCGCAATGGCGGGAAGAACAGACAATCTTGGTATGAAAATAATAGAGCTCGTGGCAGAGGGCGTGGCCAAATAGATACGGCCCAGCAGGAAGGGAGTTCAAACCAACAAGCCCCAGGACCGGATAATGCCGTCCACTACCATTTTCATATAAATCATGAAAATAAAAAATAATTATAAATTTTTATTAGTTATTTTTATTAGTTGGCTAATAAATAATATGAATGTACTCAACAATAAAATTAATCATTAATTAAATACAAATGAAAATTTTTTTTTCTATAATAAGGCAAGTAGAATGATTATTAATCTGGTTATCATGAGTTATAGATGATCAATTTTTTTTAATTTCAAATGTCCATTGAGTTAAGGCTGGGCTGAAGTCAGAAAGTTTCCCGGAGTTGACTTTACGCCCTCGTGTTGTGCGGCAAAAGGCCGAAGCTTGACATCAACTGAAATTGAGTAGGTAACAGGAAAATCGTTCGAAAAATGATAATTTTCAGGGATGCACTACAAAAAGGGAGCCTTAGGGCACCAAGAAATTTACAAATTTTTGAATAATCTGTTTCGAGCAAGACTTAAGCAAAAAAAAGAAAAAACAATTGCCTATGACTGGAATCGAACCCTGCCTAGCAAAATAAAAGACCGATGCTGTAACCACTGAGATATTATGGTTTCAATACGCTTATATATGCTCAAAAATTATAAGCTGCAGGCTTGGGCACAGAGAGTGAGGGTAGAGCTTGCCGGGAAAGTGCCGAAACTCGCCACAGATTGTTTTAAACTACTTTTCAATGTTAATAATAATATGATTAACTTTTTTATAACATAACATTGTTAATACATGTAAAGATGTATAAGTGTTAAACACAGGCTATTATCAATGTATTTATACAAAAAAAAAGTTCATGGCTCTGTTCAAATATTTTCCGACTTAGTGTCAATAAATTCAATGAGTAAAGAGAAAAAAAAATCAAATCATTATAATGGATTAATTATGGCATGTCAATATTATAATTACATGCTAATCTAACGAATAAAGTAGAAAAAAAAGTGATTATGACTGGGATCGAACCCTGCCCGGCAAAATAGAACTCTGACGCTCTAACCACATGGCCAGCATAATCTTGGTATTAAGTTTATGTGTATTTGTTTTTATACTACATGCTTGGATACGCCGACTTGGAATTGAGCTTCCTTATTAACATTTATACCTAATAAAAATGATAATAATGGATAAATATATGTATTTAAAGTTATTTGCAGGTATTATATTAATTAATGTTAAATGAGTATCACCATTTTCATTTATTTTAACTGCAATAGTCATCAAAGTATAAGGCATTGTAAAGCGATACACTATGTTTACATCACATACATATATCACCCGTACACACTCATACACAAATTACTCACCAAAATGCAGGGCACCATCAGTTCTGGATACGGATTGAGCATTTTTTCAATATGAATGACTGAGGTCATCTGCGAGCATAATGCTGTCACCTATCAGGATTTTTTCAAACTAATTTTCCGGAGAATATCATCTGGAATACAATATTTCTAATTATTTCTAAATTATTCAATTTTATACTATGAATTGATTTTTTTGACATTCAGACAGGTGGCAAAGACTGACGCAAACACGAATTTTGGGCGAAAAACGTTTAAAAAAGAATAATTAGTGATTTTTCATCTGAATGATGTGGCCGCCATCTTGAAATTTAAGCGCGGCAAGTCAATTCATAATTTTTTCATTATTCTTTCTAATTTTTTTAATAAAAATATTCACTATATACAAAAAATTGTTGTTTACGTCAGTCCGGCATTAATTCCTCTGTAATTTGGTACCTAATTTTATAGAAATAATCGTAAATTGGCGAAGAAATTAGAAATATCCCGATCCCATGTATTTGGATAGGGGGAATCAGTCGCCTTTCTGACTCCAGCCCAGCCTTAAATGACATTTCTGTAGACCCGTAACGAGAATTTTCGTGATACTTAATGTGTAATGAATGTATGAGATTAATCAAGAGTGTCAGTAAATATTTAAAATACGATTATTTATCTCTCACAAGTTTAACATCATTAATAATTAGACACAAGTCTAATTGGTCACTAATAAACAGTTACCGACTGCGGGAGTAATTTTTTTTCACATCGAGTTTCCCATCTAGAATTTTTTAAGCTTGGGCTAAACTGAAAAAACGATTGCTCTTATGGTATAAGGAAGCCGAATCATTCGGCCCGAATGTTTCTTACTATAGTAAATTCTCATACCACCTGAGTGATATAAAAAAAAGAATACATAAGATTATTATTTGTACATGCAAATCGATTTATTATACTGCGACATGATCCTTTCAATAAATATGCAGATTTTTATCGTAGTAATATATATTATTGGCTCATCATAATAGCCCAATGAGTAGACATATGTAATTTGTATAGGCTATTCACTCTTGCTATAACTCTTGATATATGGACAATTCATACCAACATCCAAGGCAAAAACTTCAACTTTCACCCATGGATGAATATTTTTCTGAAAAGTTCGGACTTTTGGTTGTTATGGCTTCATATCTTTATTGTTAGGTAATGAAAAATCATTATTAATACTGCAAATGATAGCTCACATATGATTTATATGGCGTATCCAAGGATTATTTGTTTCTATGTGCCACAGTTTTTATGTTTATTAGAAAAAACAGGTTGCGGGACGAGGTAAAGGAAGAAATTTCTTGTATAAGAGTGAGTGCTCTCGCGCGCTGGTCATGACAGAAAGAGAGAGAGGGCAAAGGCGAGACGTGACTTGGCGCGAGTGACGAGCAGCTCACTCTTGATAAATTGCAGAATTTCCGTAGTTCACTATTTTTTCAGTTTTTTGATTCTGCATAAAAAATGGCTGGACCGATTTTGCTGAAAATCTAATCAGTTCTAAGTTACGTAATTACGCGTCGAATGCAGTTGGTCCTACGTCGATATCATTTTTTGTTCTCGAGATAATCGAGGGGAAAAATAATTCCGAACGCACGTACGAACATACGCATGTTACGTCCGTTTTTTTATGAATGTTGAATTAAAT